GCTAATTTACTTAAAATGTATACACCCCGGCTTATCATGTAGCGGTAGCTTTCGGAAAGGTGGAAAACATATATTTAATACTTGCGCCGGGTATTTAATGTTCGGCTCCGCCCGAACTTAGACTTTCTTACTTGTTTATTTTCTTGTTGTTTTCTCTGTAAATTCTTCGTCGCTGAGCAGATGGACTTTTCTATTAGACTGGCGCGGTGTTTATTTTTTGTTTCCATGGGTGATTGGAATGAAAATTTATCAATCTCCCCGATGCAATGGATTTTGCATACCAGTTCAGCAGAATTCGGTTTCCCTTTTTATGCACTTCTACATCTAGGAAGGCAATTTTCTTGTTTTTTTCCTGTTCGACTGTAAATTGTATTTTTGTATGTTGTGCATTAAATATTTTTAGTATGTCTTCCGCATCTTTTGCTTTAATTATTGCAAACATATCGTCTACATATTTATTTATGTATTTTATATGTATGTCGTGTTGTTTAAGTTCAGCTATGCTGTCGTCCAATATTTTGTCAAGTACGATGTCCGCTATGGTAGGGGATAATGGGTTACCCATTGGCATGCCATAAATTTGTTGATAAAGGGTGGTATTGTATTTGAAGTAATTGTTATCCCGTAAGCAAAACTCGAGTATGGTATGAAATTCTTTTCGTGTAATGTTTGTAAAATTCTCGAATTTTTTCCAATTCTTCATAATTGTATGTATGGCTAAATGTATCGGGATATTCGTGAATAGTGATATGTCATCGAATGATATTAAAATTTCATCTTCTTCAATAGTAATATTTTTTAGATTTTCCTTCAGTTGATAGGAATTTCTTATATTATATTCGTCAGAGATTATGTTTTTTAAAATGTTGCCAATAAACTTCGATAATTTGTAGCAGGGAACATTTGTAGACGAGGATATTGGTCGGAGAGGTGTACCGGTTTTATGAATTTTGGGTAGTCCGTATAATCTAGGAGCATTAGCTGCTGTGCATGTCAAGTGGAATTTTTGTTTTACGTAAATTTTTTCTGCTTGAATAAGTCGTTTACTATATTGTTTTCCCCCAATAATTGTTGGGTAGGATCACTTCTTATGGTTTTGTATGTTGTTTTGTCATTCAGTAATTCCCTCATTCTATCTTCGTAATCCTTTTTGTAGATCATTACCGCTTTATTTCCTTTATCTGCTTGTGTTATTATTATTTCTTCCTTCTGTTGACCTATAAATTTTCTGGTGTCTGCATAAGTTTTCAATATAAATTTTTCTTTCGTATTGTTACTTAATCTGTCATTGAATGTATTGATTCTTGCAGAGATATTGCTTCTTGTTGCATCTTTTTCCCTTTCGTCAGTGATATCTTGTATGCCTTGCTCTAAGTCGGCAATTATGGGAATCGGGGGAAATGTTTTTTTAGACACCGGCAATACGAATTTTCCTCCAAGTGACAGTAGCCAACGGGAATACTTAGGCATGGGAATATCTGTTTTATTTATAAACCAATCCTCATTAAATCTTATGCCAAATTTTGTTATATTTTTTGATATTTGCTCATCTAATGTTTTCTCATGTAGTTTCTCCGTGTCTATTGAAACTTTATTAGAAAATTGTTTCTGATTTTCTATTATTTTCTTGTATTCTACTTCCATTAGTCTGCTTTTCAGTAAATAGAACAACAATTGGACAACGCAATCAACTTTAAGGAAGTCGTCGACAACACGAAGAACTCATATGCAGCCGTACTAAAATTAAAATATAAATAAGAATACTTTTCAATAATTCTTCCTAAATGTTATAGTACCTTCAATGTGTGCAAATTAATGTAAAATTCTTGTCAATATTTAATGTGAGTTTCAAGTGATATTATGTGTGTATATAATTAGTGTTAAGTATACATGTACATATGTAACTATTGTTGTGTATATATGTATGTATGTATGCAACTATTATTATGTTTTTGTTAATCATGGTTTTCGTTCTTCATGTTTATTGTTTATCGTTTAAATAAAACAGACTCCCTGAAGAAGACACGAGAGTGTCAAAACGCGTAGGAGGGACAACGGAAAAATATAAGCATTTCGCCTTTTACTCCATCGGCCGAAGCAGCTCCAACCCAGCCAACAAAACTCATAGGAATTTGGCCCATACAAAGATAATTATTAACATCGGTGAGCAAACCCGAGAAAACAACTAAAAAGGTAAACAAAAAAAGTAAACATGAAGCCATTTTACCAACATATAAGACTTAAATACAACGACGAGACATGCTACATAATAAAGCAATACAACAAACACATGAAAAAATTGGCAAAACAAAAGGAGAGGTTAAAGTTCCTACTAAGATGTAAGGACTACGGTATCATTCCGCCCAACTTACAGGGTAAATGTAGAAAATTCTCACATTGTTTCAAACTAGACACAACCCGACGTGAACTTATTAAACTAGAACAATGCTTTCTGCTCAAAATCCTCAATTTAG